GAGTGGATTCTGTTTATGTGTGGACACATGAAAATCATGTGGAATTTTACAAGTAAATTCTCCAATAAAAATGTGTCGAATTTTATGAGTGTAGTTTACGAAAACTCGAATTTTTCATCTTAGCATAAACTTTTTAAAAACTTAAGTGAAAGCCTGTTTGTAAAAGACCTCCAAACAAACTGTTAAAACATAGTGTTTTATTTAGCATAGGCTTCATCAATATTAAAAAGTTCTTTAGCTGAACTTGAAGTTTTAGCCCGGCCATTTTATGATTGACATTAGATGGACACTTATAAATTTTGAAAAAATTGTTAATAGATATCCAAAACTCTCTCCTTCGTATGGACAATGCTTCCTATCTGAATCTATTGATTCCATCAATCTGCTATTGTACATGTTAAATAATACACTACTATAATCAGCTGACCCTGGCGCCAACGCCATTAAATTCCTGCCTACAACATGCAACATGCAATGTATGTGTCTAGGTCAGTATATGACCTAAAATATGTGTAATGCATTTGTCGATTTGCAACATGCATTTTAATTTATCTGTAGCACCTGTATTCTACATTCCGCCGATCGGTATTTTTAAAAATTCATGGTTCTACACATAAGTAATAATTATTATTTTCTTTCATAATTTGGCACATTACATCCACTATTCACTAGGGATCACTTATACCCATGTGACGAGTGAATCACGATATCACACATGTTGAGCGGTAGAAAAAAAAACTAATCTATGGCATAGTGTGTCATGCAAAGCAACCGTACCCTTGAGCAACTGGAAGAAAAAATTTCACTTCAAGTTTCACCACCGAGAACCGCGGACGTAGTTTAAAACACTTCTCTCCGCCTTCAAGAATCGGATCGGATCAAGAATCGAAACTTTTGCGCCAGTAGAACAGAAGCAGAATGCGTGAAATCGTGCATATCCAAGCCGGACAGTGTGGCAACCAGATCGGGGCCAAGTTCTGGGAGGTAATTTCTGACGAGCACGGAATCGATGCGACCGGTGCGTACTGCGGAGACAGCGATCTGCAGCTGGAGCGAATCAACGTGTACTACAACGAGGCCACCGGAGGAAAGTACGTCCCTCGTGCGGTTCTGGTCGATCTAGAGCCGGGAACAATGGATTCCGTTCGAGCCGGCCCATTTGGGCAACTGTTTCGACCGGATAACTTTGTTTTCGGGCAATCCGGTGCCGGTAACAACTGGGCCAAAGGACACTACACCGAGGGTGCCGAACTGGTCGATTCCGTGCTGGATATAGTCCGTAAGGAATGCGAGGGTTGCGATTGTCTGCAGGGATTTCAGCTCACACATTCGCTCGGCGGCGGAACTGGCTCAGGTAATTTTCGAATCTATTAAGTTAGGAGCTTCATCAGGAAACATGTTTCTCCTTATAGGCATGGGCACGCTGCTGATCTCGAAAATTCGTGAAGAATATCCCGACCGTATCATGAACACGTTCTCTGTCGTTCCCTCGCCCAAAGTGTCCGACACCGTCGTAGAGCCATACAACGCTACGTTAAGTGTCCATCAGCTGGTTGAAAACACCGACGAATCGTTCTGCATTGACAACGAAGCCCTGTACGATATTTGCTTCCGAACGTTGAAGCTTACCACTCCTACATACGGTGATTTGAATCATCTGGTCTCGGCGACGATGTCTGGTGTTACTACGTGTTTGCGCTTTCCGGGTCAGCTGAATGCAGATCTCCGCAAATTGGCAGTCAATATGGTTCCATTCCCACGGCTACACTTCTTCATGACTGGGTTTGCCCCGCTGACGTCTCGAGGATCGCAACAGTATCGTGCGTTGTCCGTCCCGGAACTGACACAGCAGATGTTCGACGCTAAAAATATGATGGCTGCCTGCGATCCTCGACATGGTCGATATCTAACGGTTGCGGCCATCTTCCGAGGACGAATGTCTATGAAGGAAGTCGACGAACAGATGTTGAACGTGCAGAACAAAAACAGCAGCTACTTCGTGGAATGGATTCCCAGTAACGTGAAGACGGCCGTTTGCGATATACCGCCACGTGGCTTGAAGATGTCGTCAACCTTCATCGGTAACTCGACAGCTATTCAGGAAATTTTCAAACGGATCGCAGAACAATTCACGGCCATGTTCCGGAGGAAGGCCTTCCTGCACTGGTACACCGGTGAGGGCATGGACGAGATGGAGTTCACCGAAGCCGAGAGCAACATGAACGACCTGGTGTCGGAGTATCAGCAGTACCAGGAAGCCACGGCCGACGAGGAAGGAGAGTTTGACGAAGAAGAGGAAGGTGCCGATGAATAATAACATAGAGATACGGTTGAAATTAGTCATACTGTGAATTGATGCAAGTTCTTATTGTAATAAAATCTGGTTATTAAAAAATTTATTAATTTCTTCATAATACTTACAGCATCTCCACCCCTACTCTGTATTTCGTTCGAAACGAAATTCCCATACAAAAAATATTCACCCCTATTCTGTATTTCGTTTCGAACGAAATTCTCATACAAAAAAATATTTTTTTTGTATGAGAATTTCGTTCAAAACGAAATACAGAATAGGGGTTGTTTTTTTTGCATGAGAATCGTATATCTCGTCTATTTTCGGAAAGTATTGTGCATACAAAAACTTGAATTAATTTAACTGTATGGTGAGATCTATAACCCTTCCCCTATTAATTGAAATTTCGACAAAAGTACTCATATGATGTGATAGGGGAATTTACGTATTCTCGTCAATCTAAGCAGCGTCCGCACTTCTATTAGCATTTTCACAGCGTCACGCACATATATGACGTGTCTGTTTGTTTCAATTCATCTGCTGCTTGCTTCTCTATCCATTCCAATCGACAGAATTCTTCAAAACTGTTTGAAAGCGTTTTTACAACGCTCTAAACTTCTCAGGTGAGTGTGACTATTGTCGGCAGCCTCTTTTTCTTCGGCAACCTTTCCATTAGAACTGCGTGTTAACCAGCTGTTCTATTATCGGCAACTCGAAATCAGCCCCATTTTGTATAACGTATGCTTCATTTGAAGAAAAATCTGGCATAACAGGATTGCTCGGTCCTACAAATATAATCAGATTGAAGCTGAAAGACTAAAGAATCATTTGGATACATTCAGGGAAGTGTGTTGATGGTAAAACATAGTGAAATTAACGTTTAAATTTTGATTGCCGAAAACAGTCAATGGGTGCCGAAGCCGACATTTACCCTATGATAGATTAATAATTCTCATGTGATTTGAAGCATCGTATAATGGGTTTGACCCTAGTCAGAAAGTGGCCACTTCTCCGGGGACTTTGGCTGAAAATATCCCTTATAAAGATAACCAATTAACTGATCACTTCCGCGGTGGAACTCGGAATCTGGTCGGATGCGGCCAGTGTGGCACTTCAAATTCTACTTAAAATTCTCCTCACGATTCCCTTCAAATTTTCCTCAGAATCATATAGAAATTCAAAGAGATCAACTAGCCGCAGTCGAATACATTCGACGGACATTATTGTAAGAACCAGGGGGAACGACACTCATTTGGATGTATTTTTTCAGTCTAGTAATTACTTGGGATTTTCGGGGAAAAACATATTTGATGGGATTTTTTTGAGTAGAAAATAGATAGACTAAATCTTTTCCTTTTAATAAACCCTAGCATGTTGCTTGCCTTGTATAAAGGGTGATACGGTCAAAATTTGGTCAAGGGAAAACGCGTGTAAATCGGTGAAATCGTTTATTTAAAAAATCAAATTAAATTTCTTTTTCAAGTTCAATTAGTATAAAATTCAGGAAAAATATTCAGTTAGGCTTCCGCTTTTCCAAATCCGAATTGCCGGGCCTTACGCTTGACCCCTGCCATCAGATTTTGTACAGCCACCTTGTCCACCTTCTTCGCCGCAGAAAGCCAGTTTGCCTTGAACTGCTGCTCGCCCTTAGCAGTTTTTTTGGTCTTCTTTAGGTTCCGCTTGACAATAGCCCAGTATTTCTCAATTGGGCGGAGCTCTGGCGTGTTGGGAGGGTTCTTGTCCTTGGGAACCACCTGCACGTTGTTGGCGGCGTACCACTCCATGGCCTTTTTACCGTAATGGCAAGATGCCAAATCCGGCCAAAACAGTACGGAACAACCGTGTTTCTTCAGGAAAGGCAGCAGACGTTTATTCAAACACTCTTTCACGTAAATTTCTTGGTTGACAGTCCCGGAAGCTATGAAAATGCTGCTTTTCAAGCCACAGGTACAGATGGCTTGCCAAACCAGATATTTCTTTGCGAACTTTGACAGTTTCATGTGCTTGAAAACATCTGCTACCTTTCCCCTTCCTTTTGCCGTATAAAACTCCTGTCCCGGAAGCTGCTTGTAGTCGGCTTTGACGTAGGTTTCGTCGTCCATTACCACGCAGTCAAACTTCGTCAGCATCGTCGTGTACAGCCTCCGGGATCGCGCTTTGGCCGTCGTATTTTGTTTATCATCGCGATTTGGAGTCACTACCTTCTTGTAAGTCGATAGTCCGGCTCGTTTTTTGGCTCGATGCACGGTTGTAGACGATACACCCAGCTTATTTGCGGCATCTCGGAGAGAGAGGTTAGGGTTTCGCTTGAAACTACCGGCAACTCTCTTTGTCGTCTCAGCGGCTTCCGGTTTTCGATTTCCCCCCGATCCAGACTTCCTGGCTGTCGACAAACGTTCCCCAAACACTTTAATTACATTTGTAACGGTTGATTTGGCAACTTTTAGCGATTTTGCCAACTTTGCGTGCGAGTAGCTCGGATTTTCGCGATGCGCGAGCAAAATTTTGATACGCTGCTCTTCTTGCTTGGACGGCATTTTGACAACTGAAGAGTGAATTCCAAAATCAAAATAGGAGCAACATTCTACACACACACACCTTCAAAATGAGGGGTGTTCAGGTTTTTTAAATGCAAAATTGAAAGAAATTCGTCAAGTTGATATTGACCAAATTTTGACCGTATCACCCTTTATTTGAAGTTTAAAGCTTATTTTAACAACTGTAGAAATGACATTTTTTCCAGCAAACCAGAACCAACAGGACATCGTTTGTAGATTTCAGTACAGCTATTACCGTTCAAACCGTGCAATCTTGCCTCTTTGTAGGTTTCATCGATTTGATCGGTACTGTATGGTCTAAAATGTAAACGAGAATGAAATAATTATCCACACATTATAAAATCTGATACCACTTACGTGAAAACGACATCCAAAATGTCTCCAATCATCCCATTATGGCCGAGGGGTGATTCTGCGACCTCGCAGATTGCTCTTAATACACAATCACGTCCACTGGTTTCATCAGAATCGAACATATTTTCCAACAGTTGATACAACTGCCATCGGCTATTGTCCACCAACTCATTGTTCAGCCGATTTTTGAAGTAACTCTCCGGCACTGGCCAAATGGTGGACGATGGAATGGCGTAGTTGGCTTGCAGATTTAAGGTATTGACTATGTTCCTTACCAATTTGTAATGATTGAATGCAACCGGAGTTACGATACCCAACGTAATCTTAGCCAATCCACCGTAGGGATTGAAGGACAACCAGCGCTTGACACGCTCGTGGTCGCTGGACTCATATTCTGTGTAATTTCCAGAGCAGGTTTCCAACACCAGCAGTATGAGCAGAAACTTTATTGAGATGTACATCTTAGCACACTTGTTTTCGGTACATATGTAACTGAATGTATGCTTCCGCTTAGGTCGGTTAACGAATCTGAGATCGTCGAGATCAAAAGTGAATGCGTAAATACAGTTTACGAGGTGAAATTTAGCGGAACGGTGTGAATTAATTGTTTCTTTAACGAGAGAAAGAGTTACTGGAATATGGGTGATTGAATGCTCAGGGCTGCAACCATTGAGCACATTCGCAGGGCATAAAAAGTGAAGAATTCTAAATTAATTGAAAAATTTGCTCATTCTGACCTGCGGGGTGTGGAGTCACTTGTTGTCTTTTTTTTTCCTTGATTTGTTTCCATCGTTTTTTTTTTTCCGTGCTGAGCATCAATGCTACCGACGCTAGGGAGGCAGCTCCAACATCTGGACCCTACCTATCGACCCATCAACTCATGAACCGTGTTATGCCTCAGCATTTTACGAGCGCTTATGGCCGCCACAATCTGGTTGATTTTTGGTAGGGAACATATGATTTGACGTTTGGGTTGTGTCATTTGACGAGTAAACGTACAAATATGATCGTTTACACGTCAAACGACACAACCCAAACGTCAAATCATATGTTCCCTACCAAAAAATCAGCCAGATTGTGGCGGCCATAAGCGCTCGTAAAATGCCAGGGGGGGGAGGTGGCTGTCAAATACGAACAATCGTCGCCTACCTCCCATAACTGGTTCCAAACGTAAACAAGCCATAAGAAACCTACAGCGTTTGTTTACGTTTGGCACCAGTTTCATACAAGATGATCAGTAGACTGATTTGACAGCACGTCCCCCCAGGTAAAATGCTGGATAGGACAGGTGTGGGATGAGCAGGATGACCGGGAAATGGGGAAGCCGGGAATTTCAATGACAAACCGGGGAAAAAATGACTTAATCTATTTTTCAGAAAAAAGATTTTGGGGCTTTGAAAAGTGTTAAGATTCTTGGACCATACTAAACTTTTTTGGAATATTGAGTAAGTTAATCTGTGAAGAATTGCAAATCGGTTGTGAAGATCACAGTGTCGTGACCGGACCGAGTTTTCTAGCCTCAGTAATGGCTACATGAATCCGCGATGCTCCTATTCCTGCAGCTGCTGCCGCTTCTGCTGGCTTTCACAAATTTCGTTTACGTGTTTAGAATTAAAGGTGTTTGCAGTTTCGTTGTGGAATCGATACAGTCTATCGGTAGAGGGCTTTGGCAGTCCAGCTGTCACCATCCAAACATTATTTTTAATTGAGCATTGACTAAAATGGCTACTTCGATGTTTTTCTTTCGTATTTTTTTTTCATTTCAGTTGCACGCATCCCCATGACAATTTAAAGCACCCTCGCATCCAATGCAATCCCATTAGGAATCACATATATTTTTTTATCAAGACGACAAACTCAAAAAACTCTCTTTAATTACATTATTTTTACAGGCAAGCACGGTAAAATAAAATTCATCTGAATGAGTGTCGCTCCCCCTGGCCAGTAGCCATATAAACCTTTTCCACAGTAGCTTCTGGGTTGCAAAATTAACGAACCCAGGTCTTCAAGCTTCGCAATGTAGTCTGGCCTCATGAAATTATCGAGGATTTCCTTGAGCAAACGAACTATAGCTCAGAATTGAGTCGGAATATTTAAGGCGCTTCCGATTGGAACAAGCGGTTTAGTTTGTTAACTTTTGGTAGAACAAATTCCAAAAACCTCAAGCAAAGCTCCGTCATGGGGTTCTCCAAGATACCGCTGATTTCTTTCATCTTCCAGCAGCGTCTGGCTGAAAATCTCCTTAATAAAGACAACCAACCTTCTTTCATCTTGTCGGCATCTGGAAGTCTTTCTAGCATCCGTTTCACCGCCTGCTCTAATGACAACCAGTGTGTGGCAGCCGGGTGGAGCATTTTCAATGGTTTCAAGTCCATAATTGCTTGAAGCTGTTCAAATTTCGAAAATAATTTTGTTTATTTTATGTTAGATTTCAGGATCCAACTAGTCTGAATGTTCTATAATAGTACGTTCATAAACGCTATCCAGACTTGAGAGTTATAACATGTTATAACGGTTGTCAACTAATTGCAACACAGAAACCACCATCAAGATAGCGCTATAACATGTTATAACTCTGTAGTCTGAACGTACTAATAGACTACAGAGTTATAACATGTTATAGCGCTATCTTGATGGTGGTTTCTGTGTTGCAATTATTTGACAACCGTTAACATGTTATAACTCTCCAGTCTGGACAGCGTTTAATAGTACGTTCAGACTACAGAGTTATAACATGTTATAGCGCTATCTTGATGGTGGTTTCTGTGTTGCAATTATTTGACAACCGTTATAACATGTTATAACTCTCCAGTCTGGAGAGCGTTTAAGAGTAGTGCACGTAGTTCGAGAGGCTACCGAAGCATCACTTTTCCTGTTACAGCCTCGAAGACTCATTTGAGCTGCGTAACAAAGGGCACTTGCTTCATAAATTTGCAGTAGCTCAGCCACTTTTAGTCTCTTGACGCTATCTGAGCAATTTTCAAATGGTTTTGTCCTTTGACCGCGCTTATTCCCATTGGATGTAGATGGAAGTTGCGAAAGAATCTATTGAGGCAGTCTAAACTAAAGTCGCTATATTCATAGTCTGGCGGATAGAATTTCGGTCTATCAAAAAGCGGAACCAATTCAGTATATTGTAGACCAATAATTGGAAAGGTACTATCAACTTTTATAAACAAAACGTTGATTATTCTTTTCTCGCCAATCGAAGGTATATTACCAGCATCATCGGATAAGGGAAACTTTCCACAACCAAAAGATGGTGTTAGTTGTGTAGGCGAGCCTTGAGTCACGAGAAAACGGTTTCCGAAATTTTGTTCGCAATAGCTGATGTGCTCTTTTCTGTTGTTGGTCGTGATTTGGTCGATTGGTTCCGCTATTTGACAGCTCAATTGGTTCCCGAGATTCTATCCGCCAGACTATGAATATAGCGACTATAGTCTAAACGGCTGGTCGAAATATTGAGCATGAATGAACACACGAGCCAATGTTCGATTATGTCTCTACCAAATTTTTTCTAGATATTTGCACAGGTGGATCACAACATTTGAAATTTCTGATCGGATATCTGGCATACAATCCAAATCAATCTAGATAGAGATGGAATTAGGGCGTAACAGCTTTTGTAAACAATGACTTCTCTCGATGATTTTTCGGAAGCTACGGCCCTCCCTGGCAAATCGACATTGCCATCGAGTAGAGGAAGATTTCTCCTACCCGATGGATATGTTGGTTTGTGTAGGCGTGCTTTGAATTCCGAGAAATTAACGAGAGAAGTCATTGTTTACAAAGACTGTTACGCCCTAATTCCAGCTCTATCTAGCAATATCAACGCAAGTAGGGGTTCGTCCATTAATTATGTCACACATTTAGGGGGGAGGTGGGGTTTTGAAAACTGTGACGAGCCATACAAATTAAAAATTAAGGTTCATACAAAAAATGTGACAAGGGGGGAAGGGGGTTGAAAATGGGCAAAATTTGCGTGACATAATTAATGGACCTTACCTTACCAATCAGGCTAAGGCCTTGTTGTCCTCTGCTGTCCGAAGAAGTCGTCTCCACTCTACTCGATCCATGGCCACAGTTCGCCAGCCTCGTAGTCTGCGAAGGGTCCGCAGGTCACCTTCTACTTGGTCGATCCACCTTGCCCGCTGCGCGCCTCTTCTTCTTGTTCCTGTTGGGTCGCTTTCTAGACCCATTTGCACTGGGTCGTCGTGCGGCATTCTTACGATGTGCCAAGCCCACCGTAGACGCCCATTTTTTGCAATGTGGACAATGGATGGTACTCCCAGCAGTTGGGGCAATTCGTGGTTCGTTCGCCTCCTCCACGTTCCGTCATCCATCTGCACTCCACCGTAGATGGTACGCAACACCTTCCGTTCGAAAACACCAAGGGCGCGTTGGTCCTCCACGAGCATAGTCCAGGTCTCGTGGCCGTAAAGGACCACCGGTCTAATCAGCGTCTTGTAGACAGTCAACTTCGTGCGGCTGCGAATTTTATTCGACCGAAGCGTCCTCCGGAGTCCAAAGTAGGCACGATTCCCTGCCATAATGCGTCTTTGAATTTCTCTGCTGGTATCATTTTCGGCGGTCACCAGTGAGCCCAAATACACGAACTCATCGACCACCTCGATTTCGTCACCGTCAATCTGAACTCGGGGTGGGAGGCTAACATTGTCTTCCCTAGAACCTCTTGCTTTCATATATTTTGTCTTTGATGCGTTGATGGCAAGTCCAATCCGTCTAGCTTCAGCCTTCAGTCTGATGTACGTTTCCGCCATCATCTCAAAGTTCCGTGCCATAATGTCAATGTCATCGGCGAAACCAAGGAGCTGGATGGACTTCCTGAATATCGTGCCACTCGTGTCTATCCCAGCTCTTCTGATCACACCTTCTAACGCGATGTTGAACAGAAGACACGAAAGTCCATCACCCTGCCGTAACCCCCTTCGAGATTCAAAGGGACTCGAGAGTGTCCCCGATACTCGAACAACGCACGTCACTCGATCCATCGTCGCCTTGACCAATCGCGTCAGTTTATCCGGAAATCCGTACTCGTGCATAATCTGCCATAGCTGATCTCGATCGATTGTGTCGTATGCGGATTTGAAATCGATGAACAAATGATGTGTGGGCACGTTGTATTCGCGGCATTTCTGCAGAACCTGCCGAATCGCGAAAATTTGGTCCGTGGTAGCGCGGGCACCCATGAATCCCGCCTGGTATTGCCCCACGAACTCTCTTGCATATGGTGACAGACGGCGGCATAGAATTTGGGAGAGTACCTTGTAGGCGGCGCTCAGCAGTGTGATCGCGCGGTAGTTGCAGCAATCCAACTTGTCGCCCTTTTTGTAGATTGGGCATACGACACCTTCCATCCACTCCTCCGGTAATATCTCCTCCTCCCAAATCTTGGCAATTACCCAGTGCAGCGCTCTAGCCAGTGCTTCACCACCGTATT